CTGTCTGGGTGCCCAGCGAGTCGGCATCGACATTTATTTCAGAAACATTGTCTGCTTCCATTTTAATAAAGGAAGCGACTCAAGCAGTACTCTATTGGATGTGATTTTGATCTAATAAAAATGCCAAGCTGCTCTGGACCCAGGAAAGTCTTTCTTGAAATTCCCTCTGCTATTTTGAGGGCAGCGGCGGCGGAAACCCATCTAGATGGAGCTCCCAGAAGCCACCTCTCCACCTGGCAAGAGACAGCCCTCTTGCCAAGGCCCCGCCCGGCCTTCCAGACACACCTGGCAGAGTCAAAAGCTTGTCTTAGCCATTGAACTTGACAGCTGCGGCGATCAGCTGCAAGCCCCAGTTGCCCCCAGAAGGAAGATGCAGACACCTGGACCAGATGGCAGCATCGCCTCCATCAAGTGTCACATCTGATGTGACACTCCCGAGCTAGCTGGTGGCATTGCAGAGCCCCAGAGGCAAGTTTGAAAAGCACACTCTTTCCTCGGGAAAAAGAAATTGTGGCAGAGTCCGTATCAGAGGAGCCCAAGGAAAAACAGCAACTTGTACCCAAAATCCGTGTACTGGTTGACGGAGAAGTGGCTGCTCCGGTGGGAAACAGCGGGAGACACCTGGAGCAACTGAACACAGGACACAGGCAACACATCGTTCCAGGTTCTCAGAACACAGACTCTAATGGAACAAGACAGGGGGCCTATTCTCCTGGAACTGAATTGGGAGCGGCCACCAAATAAAACCCAAGTACATAAATACAAAAAATAATTTCAAGAGGGACAGGTGCCACAAAGGAAAGAAAACAAGGTCATAACGAGGACAGCGGGGGAAGAAAGTTGCAGTCAGGGGAAGCTTCTGCAAGGACGCAGTCTTCTGGCTGAGACTTCAAGGTGAGACAACGCCAGCCATGCAAGGGTTTAGAGGGAGAGCATTCTGGGAAGAGAGAATGGCAAGTACAAAGGTCCTGTGAGGGGATGTTCTGCATTTTCTTGCTAAGGCAAGGGGGCTGGAGCAGAATGAGAGAAGGGAGAGGGAGAGGAGCTGAGGGCGGGTGTGGGGGGCCAGAACGGAAATGGCCTTGGACTCAAAGGAAGGAGAAAAATGGACAACCGACCAGAGATCCCAGCAAGTCAGGGTGCCTTTCAGCTCCTTACTCCTCCATCCCCACAGCAGAGTCATCATCCCTCCTTCCCAGGGCTGGGAACGCCTGAGCAGAGACCTGCACACAGTAAGCCTTTAATAACGTGGGCTCGCTGACATTCCTCCTCCCCCGTTCCTCCTGCCCGCATGTCAGCCCACCACAAAATCCAAGCAGCTGTTCGGTGCAGAAATATTGCAAAACTCGACCAGGCATTTCCAAAATATTTTCTTGGCCAAAACCCCACTAGCGTCTAAGAGGCTGCGTTCTGGGGACGGTGCTGTTTCCCTAGATGGCCTCATCAAGCTGTTTTTCTAGCCCGCGAGGTCTGTGAGGACCAAGTCCACGTGGGGCTTGTCCCTGAGTCCCTGAGCCCCGCCCAGAGTCTGGTAGACGGCTGCACCCAGCATGGGGGACCCCCACAGGCATGTGGCAGCTCACCCTCGGGGCCCAGGGTTCCGGCTCTGGGGCCAGACGGGCTGGGTCTAAATACCAGCCCTGCTGCATGTTGCGCCTCACTCTGCCGCCTGTAAAATGGGCCATGTTTAGAATTAAATAAGCAGCTAAATGTCCTCAGAACGCACACGGAGGAGGTAGGACCAGTAGACCTGGTGGGACTGCCCTCTCATTGGCTATTTTTGTCATCTAGTCCAGGAATCATAATCGCTGTAGGATTCTACCAAGTGGGCTCACCTCTGGCCAAGGACCCCTCCCTCTCCAGCCCCTCTCCCTCACCGCCAGCCAGAGCAGGTGCCTGGCCTCTGCCATCACAGCACCTGCATGGACCCCACTCTACCTCTGGCTGCACAGGACAGCCATGGTTGGGAGCCCCCCGGTCCAGGAACACACCTTGTGCACCCCTGTGATCCAGAACCCAGCCTGGGCCCAGTCCAGAGGAGCAGCTTTTGTAAAGATGTGTTGAGTCAATGGCTTTCTCTGAGGCCACAGGAGCAGCCACGTCAGGGGTAACTCGAGGGACTGAGGACAGCTCCTCTGGCTGTGGACGGGGAGCTTTCCCTTCCTGGTGAGGACTGAGTCCCCAGCGCCTCCACGGGCCCCAGGGGAAAGACAGCGTCCCGGCAGCTCGGCTACCGGATGAAAGGCACACCTGGCAGAGGTGCTATGGGACCAGAGGCTCCTTTCTTCCTGGGAAGCGGGGATCTGGCAAACCTCTGGGGGCCCCCCCACCGGCCCTTGGCAGTCCCTTCTTCGCAGCCTTCGGTGGCTTCTCTGTGAGCCCCCCCAGGCAGAGCTTTAGGATCCAGCAGCTTCGCCAGCTCTCCCCACCCCAAGCACGCTCCCTGGAGGACGGAGCTGCAGCTGTCTCCCTTTCCAGCTCTGCAGGACCGACCAACTGCACCCAGACAAACAGCATGGGCGCACCAACCTCTGTCCTCTCTGGACACCCGGTTGCCCCGGAGGACCCCCTCTGGCGAGGTGGGTGGCAGACCTCCACCCGCCCCAGGGGAATGCAGACCCTGGGCCCCGGCCCAGCACCCCCAGGGCCTTGAGCAGAGCGGCCATTGTGTCTGGAGGGGTAACTCAGATACACGCGTTCTGCACCAGTGGCCCCAGCCCCCCAGCGGGGTTCAGGGCGGTCGCCTCCATACTGTGTCCTTTACAGACCCTGCCCCTCCCTGCTTGGGCTGCCTCCCCTGCTCCTACTGTGTCTTCTGGGATCACCCAAATGGGTGCTGTCTACTGCGAAGTCCTTATCTCTAGGTCTGCCTCTGGGAGAACCCAAACGAAAACATCCTGACAATTCTTCCAGCAAAGAGTTCCTGAACCCACCCACTTTCATCGTCATTGCCGAAGGTCAGGCCACGGTCCTCTCTCCTGGGAATGACTACAACAGCATCAAAGCTGCCCTCCCGGTCTCCGCTTTTGCTCCCCTCTGACCCTTTCTCGACAGAGCAGATGGATGCAGGGATGGCTATGGCTGGATGGAAGGATATGAAATGGAGACAGACAGAGAGATGATCCAGCTCTCAGCACAGATTAAAGGTATAGACAGATGCGGAAACAGATGAAGGATCCGGATAAGTCTCCTTCCCGCTCAAAACGCCCCAGGCTCCCCACTGCATGGCCAGCGCCTTCCCACGCCCCTGCCCCCGCGCCCCTCTAGCCCCATCACCAACGTCCCCATTGTGGTCCCTGCTCCAGCCACGCTGGCCTCCGGTCCTGCTGCCCCTGCTTCGGGGACTTAGCACTTGCAAGCCTCTGCCTGGAAGGGTGAGTCCGGGGCTGGCTCTTTCTCATCCTCCAGGCTCCAGTCACTGAGGCGCCCGAGAGCCACCTGCCCGGCCTTCACCCACGCCCTCTGAGCACCTGCCTCTAGCCGAGGTGGCCTGGTTTGTTTCTGAGTCGCTTCTTACTTTCTCCCGCGCCACCCCGCAGAGGGAGGGTGAGCCCCACAAGGCAGAAGACTCTGTGTGCTCTCGCTCCCTCACAGCTGTGTCTTGGAGGGAATGAAAGATGCATTTCCTACAGGCTGTTGACCTGTGCACAAGGGTACTGATGCTCCTTCCGGAAGGGAAAGCTGCCTGGCAAATGAAGTGGGTTAGGGCAGGGGTGAGGGCCATGGGGGGCGGGCTGGGCGTGGAGGGTTCCTGCAGGTGCCCCGACCCTGAGTGTCCTCATTAATTCCAGTGCTTGCTCTTAGAGCCTGACAGGGTCCCCTCAACTCTTTCTTCATCCTTGGGCTTCGGGGATTGGGCTTCCCTGCCCCCAAGACCAGCCCCAGGGCCTCCCTCCACCCAGGGTTGCCCGTCCGTTCTGCAGGGAGCGCAGGGAGGCTTGGGCCCAAACAGGAGCCTGCGACACTGGACTGGACCGGTGTTCTCAGCCTTCATTCCTCCTATGGGCTTCCGGAGCCCCTCAGAGAGATTTCTGCTCCCTGGTCCCCTCTGCTTCTGGGAGTGCAGGTGGGAGAAGCCCGCAGGCACGAAGATGCAGATACTGGCCTCTGGAAGGCACTGGAGGGTCCTGAAAGGTCTGGGAGACACAGGCAGGGCATGGACGGTGTCTGCTGGAGCTGCTCTACTGTGAGCCTCTGTGCTGTGTGACCTTGGACAAGCTACTCCACCTCTCTGGGTCTGAATTTCCTCATCTGCACAACGTGGCTTGTAATCCCAGCTGTCGGGGCTGTGGGCCAGCGAACCCAGGAGGTCAGGCACAAAAAGCCCTTGGAAAGGGGTGTGGTGGGTGAGGAGTCCGTGTCAGGCCTTCCGCAGGCTGAGCTGAGCTGAGCTGAGTTTCTGCCATTTTAACGTTAATCTCACGTCGCCTCTTTCTTTTACCGGCCAGAGCAAGGCCCTTTCTCTTTTTTTTTAAAATATTTTATTTATTTATTTGACAGAGAGAGATCACAAGTAGGCAGAGAGGCAGGCAGAGAGAGAGGAGGAAGCAGGCTCAGGACCCTGAGATCGTGACCTGAGCTGAAGGCAGAGGCTTAACCCACTAAGCCACCCAGGCGCCCCGGCCCTTTCTCTCCTTTCACCAACCTTTGCTTTCTGGTCCAGGCATTTGTTTTCCTAATGGGTGCCCTAGATTCTGTCTGTGGTGTCCCCCACAGTAAGGCTACGAAGCCAATGCATTCCGAGCTGCCAGGAGCCTCTGCAGCCCACACGAGCCCCAACCATTGTCCCCTCCCTGCCTTGGCTAGTCAGACCCTGGGGCCGTTCCCCATTCTGGCCAACAGCCCACTCAGCCTGGACCTGAGCTGGGGCTCACCAGCCTGCCCCGAAGCACCCAACATCCTCCCTCAATTTCTTAGCATCCCATCTCCCTTGTGAGAGGGCCACATCCTCTGGGTGCGGGGGACTGGCTATGCCAAGACGCCAGCCTCAGTTTCCCCACCTGCAGTGTGTGTCTGCGGGACCAAGCAGGGCTGCAGGGAGAGGTCGGCCTGGCTCATCCCCAGGGACCCCTCCCCTCGGATGGTGCGGGCGGGGTGCTGCAGACGAGGCCACTTACGGGCAGCGTATCTCTCGTGACGACAGTCTAAGCGCAGGTCCTCCTCCTCGTGCCCATCCCCCTTCTCGATCCTAGAAAGAAAAGGACCCAAAAGTCTGTGTCAGAAAGAGCAAGTTGAGCTGGCAGAGGCCCAGGACCTGAAAAGTACAGTCTTTTCCCTCTGGGAACCCTGCACAAAGCAACCTGGGCCATGGCTGCGGCCAAGACCCTTACCACAGCCCTATTAGATGGGTGCCATGATCTCCGTTTTGTCCGTGGAGACACTGAGGCACTGAAAGCTAATGTGACCAGTCCAGTTCCAGACGGGGCTGGAACGGGTGGGGCAGGGAATGCCGAGCCAGCAAGGGCCCGGGTGCAGGCAGCTGCACACCTAAGCCCTCGCCCTCATCCCGCCGCTGACCGGGCCCGGGGAATGGGTGGGGCTGTGTTCCCCCAATGAGCTCGCCCCCGTGTAACACGAATACATTGCGGAGCCCCACGCGGTCCAGTCCAGGAGTGCGTCCCCGTAAGAGGAACACACTCTGGTCCCCAGAAGTAGAAACACTGCCAATCACTTTCGTATCTGCTGAACAACACCAGAAGTGTTCCCAATTCCCTGTCTGCAGCCACGCTCGTTCTTAGATCTTTCCTCAACTCCTCTTGGCCTTTTACTTGCTTTGCGTTCCTCCTCCCGCCTCTTCTTTGCATGGATATCCTCTGTTCTCTCCTGCAAGGAAGTCTCAGTCCCCACCCAAGCAAATGCCCCAGGTCCATTTTCTGGTTCTTGCCATCACGTCTTATTTCGAGTTGCCCAACTGTGTCCCGAGCGCGAGGCTAGAGAAGGAGGCACGGGGACGGTGACAGATGACAACCAGGCCATTGCAGATGCCTAGTAGAAGGGACAGAAATACTCCTGCACTAATCCTTCTGGTCCCCTCAGACCGCTCGTTCACTCATTCACCGGGAATGTCCAGAGGCCCTGCTCTGGGCCGCTTACTCCAGACGCTGTGTGCCGCGCCAAAACGTCTATCTCACAGTCTGCCCCCAGAGCCTCCGGTCCAGTAGACGACAGCGAGCACATGAGGGAGACCGTGATAAGCGTTGTATAACACCGCCTGAGACTCCCCATGCCATCGGGACCCAGGGGCTAGGCCGTGCTTCCCAGGGAGCAAACTCTAACATAAGTGGGTCTTTGACAAGTATTTTCTACGGCCCGGCTGCTTCCCGATGGCGGCACAAAGCCCTAAGGGCTGAGGTTACAGGAAGGCAGTATATACTGTAGATAGTTGATGCTGTGGGAAGGTTCCCTACAAGGAAAGATGTCCTTTTCTTTTCTTTTCTTTTCTTTGCATCTTTTAGTAGAAACATCTTTGTTATTTTCCAGAGAGCACTGGCTTATTTAAAAAAAAAAGAAAAAGAAAAAGAAAAAAACAACCTCCCACTCATACAGCAGAAGTCCCCCCTTATAATGACACCTCCCTGTGGTGGTTTCACCACCGCTAGGAGCTTTGTGTTTATCATTTCAGAATTAAAACTTTTTTTTTAAACACATACAGCCTCAAATTAAACATGATTTCATAACCTGGTTATGTTATATCCTTACCCACAAATTTCCAGCATCGTTCCATGTCAGTACACGTAAATCTCACTTACCTTTTCCCTCATATTGTATGGGGGAGAACAGTTAATATTCAACCCCCTACGGACAGACACTTAGGGTTTTTTTTTTTTTTAAGAGTTTGACACTCTTAAAAGTAGTCCTGCATGTGTATCTGGGAAGATGCTGAGCTCCCCATCCCCAGAGGTAATCAAGACAAGAATACCACCAATCATGACGCTGCAAACACTGTGTGGAGGCTGGACCATGTAACTGAGCCCATCCCTATCCCAGAGTGCCATCTGCCTGGCCATCCCCAGTGCCTCGGGGTCAACAGATACCTGCCCCACCACATACAGGCCTCACACATCCTCCTGCGTCTCTCAGCCTTAACCTTGAACCATTACTCCACCGACCCCAGGTTCCCAGTTCTCAGGATTTCTTATCTTCTGAAATCATCCCGTCCAAGCCTCATGCTGGGCACCTCCCTTAGGCTCTGCAGGGAGCCTTGGCCCCAGGGACAGGGGCCAGTGAGCACAGGAGATGGGGTTTAAAGAGAGAGGCAGCCCCATCTGGTCTGGTCCCTCCCACTCCCTGGGCTCCCAGACCTGGCACCAGGAAGCCCAGAATTCAATAGTTAACAGATCAGAGAACACCTGCCAATTAGCCAGCAAATACTGGAGGCCTCGTGCTGGGTTTGAGTACCAGAGTCATCAACGGAAGTAATCTGCAGGCGCTTGGGAGCCATCTGGTGAGGGGTAAGGCGTGTCAGTGGTTATGACAAGAGCTGAGGACCCTCCCATAGCCCCCCAGCACTCCCCGGTAAGAAACACATCAGGACACAGGGATCTTCTGGGCACGAATGAGCCCTTGGGCCCTGTAGGGAGGAGGGATTATGGCCGAGGGCAGCTCTGCTATTCCCAAGCAGCATGGCCTTGTGCAGCTCACCTGACTGCTCTGAACCCTATGGTCTAGAAGGTTCTACATGGCAATGGGCACACGGTGCTAAGCACAACAATTAGGACAAGCACCAGCACCCCGCTGGTGGTTGTGGACCCTGGAGCCCGGTACCTGGCACAGAGCCAGGGCTCCAAACAGTTTAACCACCACGATTTCTAAACTCAATCAGCGGGCTTCCCCGGTACATTTTAAAGTCCAAGAGAAGGGGATGGAGTTTATCTCGTTCTCCACTTGGAGGCCCCAGGGTCTAGCCTGGTGCTTGGCACCAGGCATCCCCAGGAGTGTTTGCAGGCAAGGAAGAGAGAGGGAAGAGCACAGGCAGCCCGAGGCTAAGAGCAGCCCCCGTGGGGAACATCTGGGGTGCTGAGCTCTGTGTAGAAAGAGAAGACCAATGGGAAATGGCACTAGGTGACAATTGTATTTGATTTTGAACTGCGATTTCCTGCAGGAAATGTTACGAGCTTTCTGAAGACTTTTTTTTTTTTAATGGTGGTGCAAGAAATTAACTACAAGTGCCTTGAAGGGTAAATGGAGGTGGGGGGGGCAGTGCTGGGACTGAAGCCTTGCTCAGGAGGGGCACCCAGTCTGCAGTGAACACGGCTGTCCTCCGTGAACCCGCTGTGTGCTTCCCTCCGCAGGTGTCGGGCATCACCTCTGTGAAAGCCACTTGAGTCTGGACATGTCCTGACCACCCGTCCGTGTGGCTTCCTCCTCTGATCAGTGGGCATCATAGTGCACCAGCCTCTCAAGGTGGCTAGAGGAGTAAACGAATGAGCCCGTGGGAAGCCGAGTGCATCTGGAGTGCTCATAACATCCTTATCACTATGGTCGTCATCCACCTCATCTCAGGGGACCTTTATGGTCTGTCCATCTGTGACCCCTTCTCATGGTTCCGGTATTTTAACATGTTCACCAATTCCCACCCCGGAGCCCCCCCACCAAAGCCATGCCCCCTCTCCTTCCGCTCCATCAGTTAGACCTGAGCCATGCATCGCCTCTAGAAAGGGGTGTTTCGGAAGAAGCAGATTGAGGGCAGAGAGTGCCCATGGGGAGTCATACGCAGCCTTCCATCCCAGAAGAGACAGAGTCTTCACAAACTGGGGACAAGGAGAGTCAGGGCAGAAGCTAGGCTGGTGCCTAGAGAGGGGGGAGGAGCCCCGGGTGAAAGCGACAGGAACCACAATACCCGCCCAGCCTTTCAAGTGAGAACAAAATACACTCGTAAACTGTCTAAATTTTCATTATTTGGGGTCTGTTTGCAACCACTCAGATCTATGTCCCAGCCAAAGTCACTGCCGCCACCACCATTAACCATCATCCCCATTTTACAGGAGGAGAACCGAGACTGATGTGGCCCTGGGACTTGCCCACATTCAGTGGGGGGCCGGTAAAGGATAACGGCCAGCTCTCGGACAGGAGGCAAGAGCCCGGCTTTGCGGTGTCTGTACATACTCCCAGCGTGGCGGACGGAAAGGCAGCAGTGTGACGTCACTGACTGTGGAGCCGTGGGGCAGACAAGCGCACGCGGTGTGCGGCTGAATTCCGGCTTATCAGTGCCTGCATCTCCAGGGTGTCCCCACTGTGCCCCGCAGACCCCCAGGTGGCCAGGGACTCTCCGTCCCACCCACCCTGGGTACCCCCAACCTGCGTTGTGAGGTCCCAGAGGGAAGCGGGGACCATCCAACTCCAGCTCTGAGAACTGCAGGCAGATGTGCCAACAGCTGTGCAGGGGGTGACTGCACGGTCACGCAGCCACGGCCCCAGGGACCCACAGCTTCCAGAATCGGGCTACGGCTGGGTACTGGCTGTCTTCTGAGAGAAGAGATGGATGCCGGGGAGTGATGGAGGCGGAGAGGCTCCGATGGTTTGCAGGGGGACCAGAGCCACTGCCCCGTCTTCTCAGGAGGACCCCCAAGTACCTGCCCGCCTAATTCCTGGGCCAAACGTGGCCACAGCAGGTCAGGTCACCACACACAGGGGTTCCTGCCTGGTCTTCTCTCTGCTGGGACAGCAGCCCCAGCACCTCGCCAGCACAGCCCTTCCAGAACGTTCTCTGTCCCCTGCGGTCTTGTCAGTACCATCCTCAAAGAAAGCCCCTCTCTCGCCGTCCCTGGGCTGGCTTGTTTCCCAAGCCTCCAGCCACTTCCCAGTAGGAACTGGCAGTCCACAGCCCATGCATGCGTCTCCATCTGTCTGACAAAGGACTAGGTGTCTCCCCCCACCTTAATTTCCAATCTACCTTGGACCATTTTTTTTAAAATAAAATACAATAAAAATGAGTAACTAGAAAACTAAATGGGGGAAAAAAACCCCACATTCGATGGCAAGCTTGGGTGTCCCAGCCATCTCAGCTTTCTGAGAAATCTTTCAAACTCCTACCAACTCCTGTCCTCATGTCACTATGGAAGTGTGCAGATGGGCTCTGGTTGGTGCTGGCTGGGAGGTGGGGGCCCTTCCTTCAGCCTCTGGCCGCGCCCACCTTCTGAGCACCTGCTCCGCCCTCCAGCCTGACATTTCCTGAGCCTGACCTTGCTC